TATGTTTGAAGATTTCTAAAAACTATCAAAATATTTCGGTTTCATAATTTTTAAGCAGATTTTGTTTCATACATGACAGCGAGCTGTGCTCAGTGGGAATTAATTTAAATTCTTAATTAATTTTAAAATTAATTTCTTAATTTAAAATTATAATTATTAATTAATATTCGTTGTAAAGAATATATAAATCAATGTCAGGTAAAAAATCATTTGACTTTTATAATTATGATATTCATAGAATATACAAGAATCCTGTTTATTCGACAGATTATAAACATTTACAACTCAGTTGAAGAGTTATAATTTCATCAGTAGCAACTCAAATATATTTATAAGGATCTGAATGGCCGAATGTCTAGCTCTCTAATGCTTGGTGAAACAGGTTTCGGGTTAAATTTTTCGGTGTATTAACAGCTACGGCCCTAGAGTAAAATTATGGAGGTACCGAATCCTGTCTCTCATTAATTTCTGACATTTTTAAAATTTTGCTAGATTAAGAGCCCTATCAACGTCATTAACAAACTATGTTGATTATGCCATTAAGATATTTTGGTTGTGCTATGCTAATGCCACACCCGGATGTTTTTAGTGGTTTGGAATCCACTTTAAATCGTAGGTCCCGGTCTAATAGGATCGTAGAACGTTGTCTTGAGGATTAGTCAGTCTTTAGCCCTCGTGGTTCCTCTCTAAAATGAATCTTCATATTACCCTCAGCCATGGTTCTGTCGATTACGACGGGGTCTTCTGGACCTGGTGTAGGCTTCCCTGCACCAGGGGTATTCGTAACAACAATATTTATAGAACTTATGATACAAGATGGAGAAACTCTACCAATGTAGTTTTTTGATGCCGTTGATTGGGATCTTAATCTAGCAAAATTTTAAAAATGGCAGAAATTAATGCGAGATAGGTATTGAGCAAAATTATGAAGGTACTTAGGACTATAACTGTTTATACACGGAAAAAAGATTTCATGTAGATTGTAGCTTTGTAATGTATAGTAGAGATTTGTAATTGTAAAGATTTCTTAATGTAGATCTGTGTAGGCTTTCCTGCACCCGGGGGATTAGTAACACTAAATGAAGTGGGAAGAAGACCGAAATGTCTTGATGTTTGTTACTGTTGGCATGCATAAGGGGTTTTCAAATTGGTGGGGCCTACAGTAAGCCCACTACACCCATAGCTGAATATGCGACAAAAAACAAATGGATGTTGATGATGTAGTTCTTAATCATCTTGTTGATGTAATTCTTAAATCATCTTGTTGATGTAGTTCTTAAATCATCTTGTTGATGTAGTTCTTAATCATCTTGTTGATGTAGTTCTTAA